GCGAGCTAAAATTCTCTGTAAGTTCGCACGTGGTACGACGTAGAGGAACAGCATGCACAGAAGAGACAACATGCAGAAGAGCACGCTGCACGTGAGGCCCCATGTAAACGGCGCTGCATAGTGAGCAGCGATACACTATCGCTCATAATACCGGTAAAAGGGAGTACTGGCAAGGTCCTAGCGTCCCTGTTGTTCGCTTTCAAGCTGAGCGATTAACGTATTCTCAAACTTGGTAAACAGCTTTATCTACCAAGTGAACGGATTTCTTCGATGATCCGGGTAGTGCCTTTAAATGTCTTTTCTTCATTGCAACTAGTGGTAGAACGCCAAGTAGATATCTTCTACGTCGGAAAATATAGGGGAAATATTCTTCACGAGTGGGAAGATATCTACTTGGCGTTCTACCACTAATTGCAATGAAGAAAAGACATTTAAAGGCACTACCCGGATCATCGAAGAAATCCGTTCACTTGGTAGATAAAGCTGTTTACCAAGTTTAAGAATATGTTAATCGCTCAGCTTGAAAGCGAACAACAGGGACGCTAGAACCTTGCCAGTACCTCCCTATTACCGGTATTATGAGCGATAGTGTATCGCTGCTCACTATGCAGCGCCGTTTACATGGGGCCTCACGTGCAGCGTGCTCTTCTGCGTGTTGTCTCTTCTCTGCATGCTGTGCCTCTACGTCGTACCACGTGCGAACTTACAGAGAAGTTTAGCTCGCACTTTCAAAGCCTTCTTTGCTTTTTTTTACCTTTTTATCACTTTCAGCCCACTCCACAGCTCCAATTTCATTAGTGACCGCTTTTGTGCACCAGCTTTCTTCTGGAGTGTGCCCTGAAACACCTACTTCCCGTATAAGATGACCTTTGAGGATCAATCATTGTTTACGTGATGTTTGTTTGGAGCAGATTTTACTTCGACCTCCATGGATAGGTAGCAACTTTCGGCTAAGCGCGTTGTTTGAGTGTCGAGGTCACCGGACCACATATCGTTAGCATCCCGCCACTAGGTGTATCTTTAATGTAGACGAAACAATACAAGTGACGGCATTCTCCACAGAGCGTAATGGGTTTCTGCCAACAAAATAATCACCTAGTTGGAGTTGTAATCTATTAGTTGTCACTGATTGTAGTTATCATTTATAAAGTATCAGCTGTCGCTGCAAGCTTACATTTACCACATTTTTGAGGGCTACATTTTAGGATGGGACATGCATTGCAGAGCCACACTGAGGTGGTGGGGGACGTATTTCACCACCCAGGGTGAACATGAGCGTTGAGTGTTGCCTTTTGAGCACGATTGAGATGCGGGTCTCATGCTGTCTACAAAGTGTTTTGGCACCTCGCCTTGTTATTTCGGTCTATTCCCCGTAGTGAGCAATGAATTGCGTGCACTCGAACAAATGTGGTGTAAGTGGGACAGCATCACAGTTGCGGGCTTCTTTCTTATACTGATATGACTAGGATGGGCGGAAGAGATGTGGCGCTGCTCACGCGCAAGATCCAACGATAAATCTTCGATCGTGTCTTGCCCAATTCAGCTAGGCCGCCCACGCCATCTAGGATTCCATACCTCTTCGGTCCGTCCATCGAAATCAGATATAACTGGCCATTGGCAAAACCACTGACTCTCCATCCACTTGCACCCATGAGTGCAAGTCGATGGAGAGTCAGTGGTTACATATCACATCACATATGGACCAAATCACATCTAGAAGCCGATACGATTCTGAGTGGAGGTGGAATGCATGGACATCCTAAGGAGACTGATCAACGCCAATAGCTCTATTCCTCTTCTGTTCTTACGATTAGGATAACACTGCTCGGCCCTAACCATCGTTTATGAATCTTGCGATCCATATGTGTCCATGTCTCGGTACTGAACTCGGTTTGAGGCGTATTCCGGCACCAGGTCGACAAATCGACGTGCTTCAGTTCGTATTCAAAAAAATTGAAAGCTCGGAACAAAAATGCCGTGAGAATAACCAAGTTTAGCCAAAATCCCATGACTTACCTGTTTTAAATCTTCGCATTGCGAATTCCATTTCATATTTCTTCCGAAAGCAAAAAATTAGTAGTTTTGGAGTTTCAAAAAAATGGCGGGCTATGCGCGAAACTTTCATCCCGAGCTGCACTTGAACCCGCACATCTCACTCTCCTCTCACTCAACATTACGCTCCCGAAAACTGGGCACCGCATCGAACATTCTGACGCGCATGCGCGTCAGAACTATGTCATTCATTTTTATTGTGCTTGCGCTCCTTCTCGAGTTTTTTGTATTCATTCTATAGATAATACATTAGCATAACTATAAACCACATGGCAGCCAGAGTGGTCAAATATCCCTTGATTTAGCAAAGATTTTCTGAACGCACAAAACTTTCATTTCAATTCTTTCCTAGTATTCCTTTCACTGTCGTAAACATTCATATGAAAGATTGTAGAAGCAGTTAATACAAAACTCTGTGAGTTTCAAGATATTTGTATTTGATGGAAGAACTTAGGTATAAATGCTTTTAACTTCATTCGCAGCGAAAGTGATGTTTTTTGCTTCTTCGTGGTCATTATGCGTTCTTCTAAACAAAAATCTACTGCTATTTATATAGTTAACCTTTATGCTTTCATCCTTGCCGAAATAATTCTATGAGATTCAAGTTGTTGTGCATTTTAAACAAAAAATAAGCGGAAGTAAGGTGAGGACGGCGCGCTCGCAAAATCGCTCCTGTCCCACGCGGTGCAAAATGCCAAAACACGCGATGTCGTCAACGTGTTAAATTTTCAGCGCTTCGAAGTTTTTCGTTTGCATTGCGAAGAAGGACTGAGCCAAATCGAATCTGAATTTTCGCCGCTTTTGTGTCCCGATTTCCGAGAAGAAAGATTGACCGGTGGATACGTGATTTAGTAGTTATTGCTTGGCTCTGCTAAATATGCTTCTTCCGCTTCCTTCTTCCGACTTATCTCTTGATGAAATAAATTTCGTTCTTAGAAGAGCTTAAGTTCTCAAAAGCACACCTCTTAACCTCGGGTGAATCAACCTTATGGTTTCTCACAGCTCATAAGTGTACTACAAGGGCGCTAGAGCATTATTAATGGTCCTAATGTTGGATGCCAAACCGCTTCTCTTGATCGTTATGCAGCCGTCGCATGTCTGCGCTCTCACTGTCCTGCATGCTTCCTATCTTTTCTTTCGCGTCTGCGCTAATTTCCTCTTGCACATGTCTGTATCGTGAACTACCTAGGCAATCAAAGTTTTCGGCAATTTATTTCTTTTTCTTTTTCCCCAACTTTTGGTCCACATTGTACTCCACCCCATGTCATTCACAAACGGATTTATCACTCCATCTGAAGGTGGGGTATGTCTCAAATCAAAAAGTGGTCTCTTATTTACCGTCTCCTTTACTTCAATTTTTAGGTATCCATCTTCCGATCATCTTCGACTTTGAGCAGACATCGGGCGAAGTGGTGTTTGAGAAAGACCGGCTTCGTATTTCGGCTGATTACTGTTACGGTGAAATGTGTCGAACGGCAACTGTGTCGGAAAATAAGGACCATACCATCGACTACTACGACGTCGTCCAAGGCTAACAACATTGCAAACTGCTCCGAATCTGTGTTTGCATCCGAGATCCATCAGCTGACGTCGTGCCAGCATAAAGTGCCCTCTCAACTCTCAACGACGTCGACGGCGATACCTCATCATGCCGTCTCGTCACTGCGCCCGTTGACGAAGTGAACTTGCTCCTTCAACGAGGACTTCCACGTCTACTTCACACATATTTCGGCCCATCCATACCAATTCACACTGCGGGTAGCGCTGTTACTAATGTGATTGGCTCTCATATTTTATGCTCCATGGTGAATTCTCTTGAATTTGTCGATACATGTACGTAAGTATATACATCTCATCTGTATACACATATACATATATCGGTTGTCTGTATATTGGTCTGTATTGCTTCGTTTTAATTATTTCCCATCACTGTTGTCCATTTTGTTTTCATTTTTTATAGAACACTTGTTACTGTGGTATGAATAAACAGAGGGTCCTTATCGAAGGGGTAGTGAGCACGGACGAAGGGTAACTGTTTACTAATGGAGTTTGAAGGTATTGTGCACGGAATCTAGGTATTTGTCACCAGCGTAACTGCGTTATGCATCTAAAAGGGGGGGGGGTGCAAAAAAGAGTCACTTCCCTCCACATTCAAAACGCAATTAATTACAAACTGCGGAACCAAACCAAATGCATATTAAAGAGCACATTCAAGTCTATCAAAAGTTACATGACAGCCTTCTACACCGACGACATCAGAAGATTTTCCCACGGAAACATGGTTCACGGTACGAGCTCAACGAGGTCGTCGAGTACCATAGACCATTACGACGTCCCTGAAACGCTGGTCAAAAGCGGTCTTGCACAGTCACAGCTAGTGTCTCTGGGAAGCTATTCACCATTAACCGATTGAAGAAATTATGTTGCAGCTTCAGGCCGGAGCGATTACGAGCTCGACGGTGACAGCAGATGACGCCATATTCTGAAGACTGGGCCTTCTGCTTATGGAGGGGGACCTAAGGAATATCATGCCGTAAAAATTCATTACCAACGTTCATTACCAACCATCATGTGCGACAAAAAATTAGATGATGTGCGCTACAGGCGAAGGCGCTCTTTTTTTTTGCCCCACCCTCTGTGAACAAGGTGAACACAGTCGCATGTTGGATGTTCTGGTGAATAGCCTTGGCCATTTTCTATGGCGAAGAAGGAAACGCCTAATGTGGATATCAGACTTAGCGACTCTGCAATCGCGACAGTGGCGCGCCAACGCAAGCCGTACTCATCAATACCGGCACAATGACATCCGCATAGGTGAGCACGGTGGGTACGACAAGCTAATAAGCTAAACAGCTAAACAGGCACGACTGTTATCCTACGACTCCTGACTGTAGCTGTCTTCTCGGTTCACGTCGAGGTAACTCATTGGGTAAACATCGTCGTTGTTAGTGTGACCAAATTACCAAATCCTTCTGTCGTCCTTGGTACGATACACTTGAAGAAACCTTCCCTTCAGAGCTCGTAAGCAAAAAGTTGCATTCACTGTTGATTGTCCTCAAATTTCAAAGTTTCTCTTGTAAAAGTACATATAATACACGCGCTATCGTGCATGCTATGGAACACTCCCAAATTTTTTTAAGAAAAATCGAGAAAACACGAAAAATTTGGGTCAAGGCTTTTTGCCCATGGGGTGATACCCACGGGGAGGGATTATATTTCCCTCCAGAACTACTATGTAGGATTCGAATTTGGTGAAGGTCGGCATAACTTTCTATGGTTAACAGGACCAGTTTCTTCGGGAAGATTTCCAGCGGACGACTCGGACTTCCGACTTGGACCTCTGAAATCATCAAAATTTCTAAAATTTAGGGGGATTCTTCAGAGACATGTATGTGCTCCTTCGCTGTTGTAACGAAGGCGGGACTGGTGACAAAGGGTCGTAATCGATGCCAAATTTGCTCGAGGCGTGGTCCACCTCAGCATAGCATTCCTTTACGAAGGATCGGGTGCCAGCTGTCGTTAGCGGATTCGGGGGGAATCAAAGCAAATTAGTGGGCCTAGAAATGCATTGTTCTCCATTTGCATGGAATTTTAGCCTTTATTACGGCTCAACACTCGAATCTCACATGCATATTAGCCTCTTTTTTTCAAACTTTCTAGAGATTTCCTAGCAGCCGCTATATCTTTCTAACACGCAAACTCTTGTTACGATGGACGTCAGCCCCAATGTTGGGCTTATCGGAAATAAATTCTGGTGAAAATGTACAGGAAGAATGTACAAAAACATTATTACTTCGGGGAGGGGGGGGGCACCCCATCTAGTCGAGGTAGAGCTGTGAAAAGCATACACATCTTCAAGGTAGAGCGGGAAGCCCTTATATCTTATCATATCTTTCACAGACTGAGACCGTGACCTACGACTAGTACGCTTACCCTTGTCATATTATTCTATGGCTAAAATGGCTGCTACCTTGCTGGCTCTTCACTTTCACCAAACCTTCTTGCGACTGCCATGCGAGCCCTCGAAGAAAGGGCCTTTCAGGTATCCGATTTTGTATGGAATCTCGGGTTGGTATCCCTATCTAATCATACACTCAGAGACTGTGTCTGGATGTGATTAGATATGACCGCCCTTCCGCAGCTCCACTTCGATTAGATATTGCCAGTTCGATTAGATATTATGAGTGGTCCTCCGAACTACATTTTCACCTAAATTCTTTCTTCGCGAGATGGCATCGTATCGACATCTACTGAATCATTTGACTACCGACCAATTCATGACTTGTCAACAGCTGAGATGAGCGTGCAAAGAACGAGCTGCAAGGCTTTTCGCAACAACTCATCTCACATTGAGCGAGTATGACAGAGTGAGTGTACAGCGAAGAGATATGCACCTGTGGAAGCGATAGCAGGCGACAAAGGAATTAGTATGGTAAGGTGTGGTCTCCCGCGGCGTAAGGTTCGGTAGCCGCAGCGCAGTTGGGCCCCAATCTCAATTGTAAATTTCCTGAGAAAGAGTCTTGAATTTCGATTCTGCTGTCTGTTATATTCTGTCGGGGCACGCTCAACAAAACGGCCAGTATCTAAGAAGAAGCTCTTCCACAGTAGATAGGCGCAATGGAGGCGCTATTCCTTGGAGTTTTTGGCAATTACCCGATTTCTTTTCATTGCCGCATCAACTGGCAGCTTTCTTTGCCAGCATTTTTACAGTCCTTCTATAGTGGTTGATGTCAGCAACCGAGCTGAAATGATATGATTCTGTAGAAAATCCACAGGTGACAAATTCTAGTTAAGAAGTATATTGAGAATCTTACACCCGCAAGTGCGATTGATAGCCTCGGGCTACATCACCCGCCACGAAAAATCTCCATTCGTCTTCGATGTAGGAATCGAATCAATTAGCAAAACTACCCGCAAAAGGCACGTTGATCCCTGCTGGGAGTTCTACTTTGACTCAACTCGGTACTTCTCCGAGTAAGACTCACACAACCCAGCACATAGGGCGCAATCAGTGATGGAAGGTAGTGTAGTGGAAGGAGGGTCGCTCACGATGTGCACGGTCTTTTGATCAAATCTCGCGACTCCAAGACGTCGAATAATTAATGCCACCTTGACATTGAACAGGGGCTTTTCATCGGGTGGCCCGCAATTCATTTTATGGGGCAAGTACAATTAACCCCAAACAATTCTTAAAGGAAAGGTAGAATGTGGGACTTACTCAAAATAAATAGAATTGATTATCGCTAAATGCTCTATAGCTTCTGTTCTTTACTACGGATTATTACATAGTTATAATGATATTAAACGCGAAAATCGGTTCTGATGTCGGCGCCAGTTTTTAGACGTCAGCATACAATAATGCACAAAGGCTAGGCTGTATAAGGAGTGATCCAAAGCCCTGCCGTTCCACTTGGGGCCTTCATCGCCAAGTTCAACGCTATCTGACCATTAGAAACGGTTGTGCGCCGGAGACCCTTTGATGAAGCCTCCTTAAACCAATAAACAACCTATTTTCGATCACTTTTTCATGTCAGTTCACCGTACAGCTCAACCTTTCAGTTATGAGAGCCCTCCTCTATACAGTTGTTCAATGATACGATACCTTTTCAACACAGTGCGCTGGTCGCACAAAATTTATTTTCGCTCATTTCTGCCACCTCCTGAAGGCGCGGGGAAGGGAATCTTCGCGTTTTTGTTTCATGTCTCTGCAATGACTAAGAGGGTCATGAAAACGGTCCTAGAACGACTCTGCTTTCAAATCAATCGCCTCGTCCGGACATATTAAAGTGTCTACTAACCTCTTTAGGGAATGACCACTATCGAACGGTCAACGCTGTCCTTGTTCTTCGAATCTGTCGTCACTTGACACACTCCAACCCCGACCCAAAAGTCTTCCAAGACTATACAAGTCCGCTCACTTTTGCACATTTTCTAAACATTGCGAATATGTGTAGACATCGAAAAAACATCTCCTCCTATACAAACGGACTACCCCCGCTCTAAAACCCTGATACGTTACCCCATCCAAAAATCACAAATACATACAACCACGCTGTTTCAACTGTCTAGATGGGCGGTTTACTCTGATCTTTGCTTAGAGCGTACAACTGAATTATGCTGTAGAGTTGAGCAATAAGTAATGTCCACTATGCGAACCCATATCCATTTCATGCTAACGTTTTCTGCTTATGTATTGAAAGTCTTACGAAAAATGAGACGGATTCGAGGAGTACCTGGTGCCCTGGTTGGATTATTTGGCCTCCAAGGCCGTTTTTGTCTTCTCAGAAAGTTTGGAGATATTTCCGCGTTGCCCACTTATTTCACTCCTTCTTTTCCACGTCCTTCAATGCTATAATATTTCGAGAGGTTCCATAAGTTGAGTGTTTTATTTATTTATTTATTTATTTATTTGCATGTACAAAAAGTACATGGGACAAACACAACAAAACTGTGCCAAGACGTAACAACACAACTAGAAAAAAGACATCATAAGAAAATGAAGTAGAACAACAAAATTTTACTAGTGAATATGATT